TCTCGGAAAACAAAATGCCGAACAAGGCGTGGCCAAGGCAGCTGGAGAATACTACGCGGGCGTGACGTCACCATGGGACTAAAGTTTGACAGACCGTAGCACGGTTTTTCGCTGATACTACGCGAAGGTTGGTAGATACTAGTAACATGATAACGAACGGAGGTTGCACCAATGAACTGAGTAACCATCCTGTTCTACATCTTCATTTCGATGTTATGTGCATAGTGATTGTGCATTTTGCATTCAAAACCTAAACACAAATGGGTACTACGATCTGCTTCCAAACATAACTCCCACGAAGCCACGTTTTCTGGGGTCAGTGCCCGCGCCATATTCGTCACATTCAGCGTCCCTGAAAATTTGCATGTAATGCCTTTCTTTGAAATGTATATTGATTCGTAAATAAATGGATATCATGTGTAACATTTACATTGAATTCGTACATGGGCAATCGTTGTGCACTTACCGTCGTACTCCAGTACATAGATGGTGTGAAATGTGGAAATAAGGTAATATGGGGAGGGCCTCTACGTCTCCCGGGGTCCAATCCTCACTTCCTCCATTAGGACATGCCAACCTTGCATCCAGCCCGGCAATGCCCCTCCTAAGGCTGCAGGATGTGCATTTCAACTCCTCAGTGCGCTTCCCAGGGCGCTGCAAAGCCGTCTAGACCGCCTTTTCTCATTTCCACCCTATGCTGTTGTTTGCAAGGCACTCCCGGCTGGAGTTCTTCGGGATAAAACACTGGTGAATGGGTTGCCCCAGCTCTCTGTGGTGTGCAGACTGGTAGCGCATCTCAGTAATAATTTTGCAGGTCTGGTGCAAACCAACGCCATTTCCCACCTGAAAATGCACCATTTAACGTGCTAGGTCTTAAAAATTCGGTTAATGGAAATATTTGTGTTTAAACGAGCCACAAAACAACAGTGCTTTCATGTGGCCGTAGCAATGGTGCCGCATGGATTAGTCCCATGATGATGTAACAGTATCGCTACCCAGAATGCCGTAATGCGGGGGCTTGCGCGCAGCCACGTCATGAGCTTGTAAGCACGTGCTGGTTACGATGAAGCCGCAGGTTGGCCAGCACTGTTGACCGTTCGCTGCTTTGTTATTAGTCGGTGTTGCTGTGGCGCCGAGCTGTGCCGACCTAGGCCCATTCAGCCTTTTTCCTTAGCTTTTCTGCCAGGTGAAAATGTTTCCATTTTTGTTGTTCCTGAAATGAGGGAGCTCAAGCTGTGGCGATTTACGGTGTTGGGTGGATGTCATTATCGATGGCTACAAATATAAAAATGTAGCGAAGGGAAGATCTGGCAGGACTGGCGCGCCAAACCCGGCTGCCCGATCAGACATGCTTTCATATAAGTCCAGTAAAGCAGGATTCGGGTTGTGACATCGCTTGGGACGATTGTCATCCTGTCATACTCAGTTACTTGGTTATGTTGTCTCAGTGTCACTGATGTCTTGTAGATTCGGCGAAATGTTCTATAGAGCATGGGGCCAGAGCGAGAGCGAGAGCGAGAGCGAGAGCGAGAGCGAGAGCGAGAGCGAGAGCGAGAGCGAGAGAGAGAGAGAGAGAGAGAGAGAGAGAGAGAGAGAGAGAGAGAGAGAGAGAGAGAGAGAGAGAAGGAAAGAGGGGAAGGGAGAGGGAAATGTGAACGATCACGTGACGTGTAATGTATTCATTGCCATTGCAAGTGCTCAACAACAACTGAACATCGAAACCGCGTAACTTACCACCCCGCTCTTCATGAAAAAGCAGATTGTAGAGGGTCCGAATTTCATCGTTTCAGTTTTAGAAGGCCAGTGATGCGCGTAGCCGTGCTTCCTCTCGGCCGACCCTTGTTCCTCGCAATTTTGGCATGTTCCTTCAGATGTCCCAGTCCTGCGATACGCTCCAATCCCCTCCACATGCGTCGGTCTGTGCGATAGAACCAGCCAGAACCAGAACCAAAGGGACCCGGTGGCCTTCCTCAGCCTCACCCTGGCTGAAACACCAGAGAAGACGAGGCTCGCCGCTGTAGGCACACCCCGCCTGGAGGCGGAGGCGACGGGGCGGACACCCAAAGCTAGGCTTAGACTGGAACATCCTGAGGAGAAGACGGGGTTCGCCTCTAGCCAAACGTTGTCTGGAGCTGCCTGCAGAACACGGGACGGTGGGTGCCTGAAGCTTTGCTCTGGCTGGCACATCCTGAGAAGGGGCTCGCATCTGTAGTCACACCCTGCCTAGAGCAGACTACAGAAGAGACGTGACGGGTACCTGAATCTGCGCTCTAGCTGGAACGTCCTGTGGGGAAGAGCAACACTTCTCTGGGGCAGGATGAGAGAACTCTGGCTCGAAGGCAGCTAGGTCCTGCGTCTAGGTCATCCGTAGAGAAATAGGCGTCACCACTGCCTGCATTGTGTATGATGACACATACGCACATCTGACCCAGCTTGATGATGTCCAGGGTGTCCTCCAAAGCATAGGCAAAGACATGGAACCCATCACCTGTAAGTTGGGAGCCTATGGATGTATCTGGTTAGCGATGGCCAAAGCTCTTTTGTAGCGCTCGTTCTGTTCGGGGCCTGTGTCTCCCTGGGCACATTCTGAACAGGCGGGGCTGGGCTACGTTCACTCACTGGAACATGCCGGCTAACATATTCCACCTGGAACTGAGGTATCCTTGTTAGTTGCACCCTGCGAACTTGGCACACCTTCAGCATTTACCTGCATGGGAGCTGGTGTCATCTATGAAATGAGCACTGACATTGATTACAGGGTTGGACAATCAGACAGCGCGAGGTAGTGGCGCACCTAAACTTACCACCGGCCCGATGCAGTACTACATTCTCCGCCAGCTTTGCGTGCATTTCGGAAGCAAATGGGGTCAGTTGCGCCTGTTACACACCCATGTGACCTGTGCGGGCGCGGACGGGCTTGTTATTGCACGTCTGGTGGGTCTGAAACTGATCGTTCCGTCTTTGTGATAACAACAGCACAATCACTGTCCTGACAAAGTCTGGAAGACAGGAATGCGCACACATCTCGCAACTTGAGATTGAACTTCTCCAGGCTGTTATTGGTGAACGTTCCATAGCGGCCGCCACACGTCAGCCTTCCAAAGTCACTTATCGCGGATGGGATGCCGGTTAGTGTTCCTTGTACCTTTGTTCCTTGTAAGTACCCTTGGACGCGCTCGAGTGACAGACTTTTCGCTGTCGGGCATATGACACCTCATCAGAAGCATTCACGAGTGACTGCAGCACGGCCTCCTCGTTGCCGGCCCTGAAAGCATCCAGCATCATCTTGATCATGTCCGGCGTCTCTGATGTGACCAGGAGGATGCCGACCATCTCGTTTTGACCCAATCCCGTCCATACACATCATAACGAAGAGAGGAAACAGGGTCCACGAGTTGTCTGTCGAGTCAATGAGGGAAATCTCGGGGTACTTGTTGAACTTGTCGACCATGTACTGATTTTGCAGAGACATCACAGTCTTGACTGTTGTCTTCAACAACTGTAAATAAAAATCCTGACCGACTAAAATTTATGTGCCGGCATAAATGCCAGATCCATGACTTGGGCTTCCTCATCATGTTGAGCAGATCATCGAGTGTGATGAATTTTCTGTGCAATCTTCAATCGCAGCCGTGACGAATATGGGTCTGTACCGACACGCATGCACTCTTTGCACGTATGCTTATCGTCCAGATCAATCTGCCGTTTCTCAAGCTGCATTAGGCAGCCCGCTCTCGACGTCTCATGATTGTGTTCTGGCTGAAGACAAAGACACAAGGTTGTAACGCTTGCGAATCGAATGACAGACCACGGCAATCGCAAGTGGAAATTATCACTGGTTTGGGCCATGTTGTCACGTCCTGGGAATATATTGTGCTTTCTATGGCAATGCTGGGCAAGGGTATCTAATAACGCGGAAGCGCTTGCATTTTGACAAAATGTAATTAACATTACGCTCATCCAAGTATGTGGCGTCGACGTAATTTATTTAACTCCCGAGATGCGTCTCTAGTGGCTCGCGGTTGTCAGCTGTTCGGCAGGTGATGGCTACCCGATCTCCTTGAATCACAGTATGGTGCAGCCAGTTTTAAACCCTGCCCCTTACTGGAGGGCAGATCCTGTAACCTTGGGTTTGCACTGTTTTTTTCCACACGGGTCGGAACGAAATGTTTAATTTGTAGGAATTTTGCCGAACCTCTCAATGATTAATTTTTTATCATAAGACGCGTGTCCGCGTAAGACGCGTGTCCGCCGTACGCACGGTTTCCGTGGCTCGCAGAGACGACAGCCAC